AGCGTGTCAGTGGAGGTGGATCTAAAAGAAATAGCCTACGGGAGCTACAGGAGGAGTGTTTAAAACTGCAACAGCAGTATGGCCGAGTAGCAGAGGAAGAGCAGCAGCGACGGCAGCAAGAACAGCACGAGCTACACATACAGCAGTCCTACAATCGCAGGGCTTCAGAAGGAGCTGAATCGCTAACTGCTACGCTGGCACAGTTCCAGCAGCAGTACGCGCCAACCTACAACACCAGCCAGGAGTTTGATGTTGAAGGACAGCCCAGGAGCTCAGTTGAAGATTTAGTGGAAATAACACCTCCAGGGTCCTGCGCGATGGAACATCAGGACTTGCTTCATCAAGAAATGCAAAGGTTAAACATCGAGCACTGCCCTCCAGCTCCCAACATTCGACACGCCCCGTCGAATTCGCCAAGAAGTAGCCTTCTGGTCGAAGATTCGATACCGTCGTCGTCTGTTTCAGAGACGTCGAGCTTTCTTCCCCCTCAACCAAACACCTCTTCATTTCTCTCTGACGGTGGAACGATGGTCTCCCCAGTTCCCTCTCCGCCTCCCTCCCCTCTTATTTCTGCGGTACCTTTGAGTCAGCGGTACCCTATTCCAAACATCGTCAACACTAGGAATTCCTCTAACGGAAGCGCTGAAAATCTCCAGGAGACACGGACAATTCCGCAAATTCCCGCGGGTCTCCCGGGTGTTATGATGGGAAATACTCTGGTTAATGAGAATGATCTCGAGGAATTGGCGAGAGCTACGTGGGGTATGGGCCACGCACCGCACCCTTTAGCTCCACCAACGCTGCTCTCGACGTTCGCGTCAAATCCCGCGGGATCATTACTAACGGGAAATGTGGGACAACGATCGCCTGTGCATCACCGCCGCCATCACACGGCTCCATCCGCGCAAGATGCGTGGAATTCCATGGACTTGCTTAGAAGGGCGACGGCGAATAACGTTTTATCGCAAAACCACGCCAGGGATATGTTAAATAACAATATCAACTTAGAGGAAGGTATTAGGGACGGTTTACTTTATAGAACTCTCTCCCCCAATGGAACCATATACCAGGACTCACTACTCAAGTCTCCGACCAAAGGAGACGCATTGCCTGACTTAACGCAAACTAATAACCTCAGAATGGCATTTTCTGTTAATATGACTTCTGAGAAGTGTATTCCAGATATTATAAGCGAGATTCGAAGATCGCTCGATCTTCGCTCGTCTAAGATCACCTATGAGCAAGCGGATCAGACTTTTACCCTTCGTCAGGGGGGTGTATGCGCCGAAATTGAAGTCTGCCCCCTTGCAGGAAATCTTAATGGGCTGCGCCTCCGACGTGTCACTGGCAACCAATGGCAGTATAAGAAACTCTGTAACGAAGTGCTAGCAGAGATGAATCTGTGACCAAAATCGGAGTAAATTGAAAAATGTAATGATACCTTAATTTGTAGACTGTGTGACATTTGTGCTGGCGTGATTTGTTGCATCACTTTCTTCCGTGTCGTCAAGGATATTTGCTTTATAAGTCTCTATTGCCACAGCTAAAATATATCGGAATTCGTCATGGAAGGAGATCTATACTAGAAAATTTCTATTGTTCGTAATCTTTTCTATTGCTGCTTTCAAGGCAGGTACTTATGTATTTTCAAGAAGGGAAGCTTGCATTACTTTGTTCTATGTAGAGAGCTTTTGTATTTTTTTCTTTCAGTCGTAATTGCCCGACTATTCAGAAGGCAATCGTGATACGGTACGCTTTTTACCCCTCTTCCCCCCCCTCTAGGAACTCAGATATGTTATTGGCGGGGAGGTGGGAATTCTACTAGGAAGACGGTTGGGGGGGTGGGGGGGATAAGTGGCAAGGGACTGTGAGGAGCTTGAAGGGTTGAATAGTTGTTAATATGGTTTTTTCTGTTGGATTGTCGACGTTGTACCACTGCGTTCTCATTTTTTATGTCAAATTCTCGTACGCATTATGTGAGCAGTGGTATAACAGGAGATATTCACATCTCCTCGCCAGTAATGTACTTGAACACAACCCGAGGGACATAGATGATGGCTCCTTATGAGATAATAGACCAACTGGGTCAGGTCCAAAACTCTTAATGAAAGCAGGAAGATAACTATAACTTTCCTATCGCAATTTTCCTATGTTATTACGTTTGTGACAATATGCTGTAGCCTTTAAGGCAGATGTTTATGGGCTCTGGTGTTAGAAAAGCCAGAATCACATGTGACATATTAATTGCTTAGATTAGGAATTAAACAGCTAAATGCATCAACATCAACAACAACAATCTTTATTGTGCTCTTAATGCAAAGGTGTAGAGTCATTTAAAGGAAATAATTGTGAAAGCAAGAGAGCACAGCCACTTAGAAATAGCAAAAGCTAATCGCGCTGAGTGGCTGACTTCAAAACGCGTGGAAATCTCTATGCGCTTATTCGACCATTTTTTTTTTGTTATTGAAATCGTACAACAGATAGCACACATTGTGTGACAACAGAATGTGTGCTGTGACACGTGAGGTGGAAATCTTGTGGTGATGTCATCATTAATGAACTCACCCGGATTGCGAATACATCGACTTCTCACTATGTTTTCATACAATTTATGAATTAACGCATACTAATGTCATATGGGTGAATTTAAACGTTTTGAGATGCACTTGCAGAGATGCCAACCTCTGGAGATCTAAAATCTGGAGACTGTCTCTTTTGCATTACCGTCCCCCCCCCCCCCTCCCCCTAACATCGAGGACCAAACCACTCCCCTCCCCATTTCCGATAAGCACTGATCAATATTATGGCACATTATATGAAGTCTTACATGACGAACAGTTCATCAAGTTCGCTTTTAATGATTAATTGATTGTTTGTTTGTTTGGTTTTTGAAGTCGCTTTTATGAGTATGACACGGCGTTGACTTTTTTGAGCGGAAGGGGTGGGGGGAGGGGGATTATTTAGCGTGCGCCTTGGGCTACAGTCAACTACTCCGCTATAACGGACACCCCGATAATACGGACAGCAGCAAAATCCCCGCAAAAATTAACTACAGACGTTTGACTGAAAGAAACTCCCACTATTACGGACTCTCGCTAATGAGAACACTAGCTCGAGGTCCCTACAGTGCCCGCAATAAACGGAGTTGAATGTACCGGCATAATTGCCCATGAATGAAAAATTGGCTAAATTTCAAAAAACCAAAAAAAAAAAAAACGGACAAAGTTCAGAAGTCCATTTTCAGGCGGGAGATTAGGTGACCGTAAACGAGACTCGGGAAATTTGTGCCGTATCCGGGAAAGGTGGCGCAGCCATTTCGAAATAAGACTGATTTTGAAGAGGTACTTTTATGTCGAGCAAAATAATGCATGAATATTAACTGTTAAGAAACATTCAAGCGTTATCTGCTACTCTTATCTCACCTTTCGGAAAGGTAAAGTTGTATCCTTATTGCTTAATGATCGAAAACCAATGCGGAAATGCAAAAAAGATAACGAAATTCTATCCACTGGTAAGAGCTCCTGAAAGGACAAGGCCTTTAACTCTTTATTCTCTTGCATTGGCTGGCAGAAGCTTTAAAGTTTCTTTTGTAACAACTAGCCGTTCGTTCTTACGTTTTCTACGCCCTTATCAGCAGATTGAGAAAAAACTATTAAGTCTTAAACAGCCCCTAAAAACAGAAAAAAACAACTTAATATTAAGATCAAACTTCTGAAATATACAATCACTTGTTTATTTAGTTCACAGGTGTTAATTTAGTACATACAGGGTCCCTTTGTCAGACCCTTTGTCTTAAGTAGACTCACCCTATAGCAAAAAATACTACTCGTATCCTAACTTCAGTGTGTTCCTTATTCCTTGGCAGCATTAAGACGTTAATTAAACACGGTTGTGCAACGGTAGTCAAGAGTACTCAACTACCAGACAAATTTTAACCGATCCAATAAAGGAAAACGTCGGAAACGTCTTAGCCTCTAATTGGACACAATCTACTCGTTGTCCTGAACAAACAACCCAAACAAAACATAGCCAAGCTGATAATATAACGGCCGTGAAAACAAACCCCCAAAAGGTATGCTTTTAAAAGGCTTCCGACAAACTAAATTTCCGAATGTAAATGACAGATAACAACTTAAAGCAGAGTGATTACATGCTTTTGTCTTCATTTGTGATTGTGGACCACGCGCTTCAGGATTCTGAAAGCAACGCAGGTATGTGAGATGAAATTAAATTTTGTACCTTAAAGAACTCCTTGGTAGTTATAACTTCGACATATAATAGGAACAATCTACTTCATAGAAGGATATTGAATATTTGTACAAATATATGTTCACGCTTAACTGAATCGTATGAATTGCACATTAGTTTTGATACGACTCATCAAATTGTCCCTAGGATTAGTGGGTTTGCGACAAAAACTGATCTCTAAAAAAATTGCGCAGTGTATCTACTTTAATTTCACGCTTATGCGTTCCACTCACTTTATTCTTAAATGTTTTTGTTAGCGAGAATTTACAGAACTTGAGTTTTCATTTGTACTTCTGCATTTCCAGGAAGAATTTTTCCTCATATGAACACCCTTTCTGGGTCTTTTNAAGACCTCTCCGCAGGGTAAGCCGGTCAGAATTAACGAGCTGGAAGACTTAGATTATCTTTAAATGTCCAATCGGCCAAGGAAGACAAAAACTGTAACTTACATTTGGGACAGGAACAAAAAAACGCAAAGTTCGGAGAAGAAGAAGGGAAACGCTCAAAAAAATGTGCTATCATCTTATAAAATCTTAATAATTAAAATTAATAATTGACTCCTTGTACTTCCTTTTTGATATTTATACCTTCTTTTAACGTTTTAAAAGGTTATTTTTATGTTTCCTTCAATTAAGAGGTAGTTCCTGACGTTTGAATTTTGATAAATTTCTTGACGCAGTTACGGGTTTTCATCACTACTCTCATTTCCAGCGTCTGGAGGTCTCAGTTAAAGTCGCCTGGACAGTAGTGAAATGGTCCTTATAAGTACCATGGAAAGATACCTTTTTCTCACTGCATTCGCCATTCTGCCAATCTGTGCATCTGCGACCGTCTACTACGTCGATGGAAGCAATGGCAGTGACTTTAACCGTGGAGACAGCATTCAAAATGCATTTGCATCCATCAAAGCCTGCGTTGACGCCCTCAATGGGCCTGGTGACGAGTGCCATATTCGCGCTGGTCGATATCATCAACCTGTGTTTCAGATATCTGGCAAGCAAGGTTCCCAGTCCCAACCGATTGTCATCCGGGGTTATCAAGACGAAGTTCCTGTTATTGACGGTACAATCCCGTTGGCTCCTAAAGCTGGCTGGAAACTTGATCCAAAGACCGGAATTTTCAGGTGCAGTTCTTTTGAAATGTTTAATTGCTAAATCAGACCAATAAATTTTTAACTGTCTTAGCTATGGTAGTCAAATAAAATTTTTAAAATGCAGTGTGCGTGTTTGAATACTCCCAAGGCGTAATATTTATACCCTGAAAGATATTTTAATGATAAGGAAGGTAAAATAAGTTACGGTTTGAAACACAGCCCTAATGAACATAAAGCGCCACTGGATTAACTGGAGACTGTAGGCTCCGAATTATTTATTTATTTAATATTTATCAAGAGAGGATAAAACACTTTGAATTTGTTTATTTAATCGACCCTAGTCTCAATGAGCCCTCCAGTCCTGGAATTAAAAAACAAGAATCATTAAATCAAAATAATGGTGATGATGATGATGATGATGATATTGATGATGATAAAAATAATGATTCTTTTAAACGACGCTGATGATGATGATGATGATTACGCCTTTAACAACATTCTTGTGACCGCAGTTTTGTATAAAATTAGGTGTTATACAACGCAAGCCCTAGTAACAATCATCGTGTCCTACCATCGATGACATCGCTTCTGTTTTAAAACGAAAATTAAACCGCCAGTGTGAAACAGTTCGCACAATTTGTTCCTTAAGTTTGTCCTCAACAGGGCCAAAAACGTTCTGTCTTTCTTGTGTTTGAAAGAACTCAGAGTAAGGAAACCTACACTTCAAAGTTATTGCACATATTTTATTCTATGCTTACATCAATCTTAAAATGTTGTCTTACAGTGCTAAGATAGATCAGGACGTTTGGCAACTTTTCGTCGATGGTGAAATGATGACTAACGCCCGATGGCCAAACGCACTGTGGTCAGACAAGACGGTTTTTCTGAACAAATACTGGGCTAAGTCTCACAAAAGTTCCAAGCGAGGAAAAATGGTCGACAGTGGTCAGAAAGATTTAGCTGGAAGTGGTATCAACGCTGAGGGGGCTATGGCAATTCTTAACATCGGAAGTTTCAACACTTTCACTGCTGCTGTTAAGCGCCATTCCCCAGGGCAGAATTTCTTCACTTATGATGACAAATTCGGTGATATCAAGTTCAAGGCAGGCCATAATCAATACTTTCTTGAAGACAAACTGGACTTCCTTGATAATGCTGGCGAGTGGTTTTATGATAAAGGCTCCAAGAAAGTGCACGTGAAGACATTGGATGGAATGTCTCCTGAAGGCAGAATAAGAGGAAAGGTGACGAAAAGCCCCTGTATTTAACGTATATAGAAAGGGGAGGGGGCCGACCAGAAAGGGGCGAGCCATGGGGCTCAGGTACCGTCCACGCTAATAAGTTTTCGTTTGAAAACGCAAACATTTCGATGCGTTCAGACCTTCCGTCCACTCTAATACGCTGAGCGTTTTCATGGAAAACACATCGATTTGACAACGTTTTTGAAAGTGGATCAAAAAGAAAACGCATAGATATCGTATCAGTGAGAAAGGTCGAAAACACATCAAAATTGTACTGTGGACGCGAATCGATCGACGCGTTTTCGATGACAACGAAAACGCATTGGTGTGGACAGGAACTCAGTGAACAACCTACCGGAAGAGCAAGGGCAGAGGCGAGGGACTGATGTTCACAGCTTAATTAAAACCAGTGTTTAAGATGAAGGCGCCATTCAGCTTTGGCGAGCCCTGTTTGTCTTATCAACTTAAGTAGGAAGAAAACAAAGTTTCATTTTTTTTACTCAGCCTGAGGCAGCACGCAGTTACTCAAAAACTAACCCCAATTTTATTATATTATATTCTAGGTCCAGACATATGCATTCACCATCACAAAATGCAAGCACGTTCATTTTAAACAAATGACTTTTTTCGGTACCACTCTAAAGGCGCGGCCAACAAGGAAATGGGACGTTATTGAAGGGCTCCATTTCGACACCATTAATTTCAAGTTCCCCTCGTATTCTATGCGCATGCTCGGTTTAACCAATCCTCCGCTCTGTACAGTCATTGAGGCAAGTCGCGGGAAAAGCTTTCAGCTAATCAACAGCACCTTCTTCGGGAGCGATGGAATGGCTCTCAGATATAGTGGTAAAGGCGTTCTACTGCAGAATAATTTATTTGAGTACAATGACTGGTCCGTAGCTATTATGACACAGAAGAGTGGAGGGTTCGGAACTGTGATTTCCAATGGGTATGAAGACAAGTTTATTCGTAATACGCTACGTTTCAATGGCGCCAGCAGTGGTTTTCGTCCATCAGGAAGGGATCCTATTGTTAAGTTGAACCATGTTCATCACCAGTGCTGGGGGATGCTGCAACACGATGGCGCAGGAGTGCAGTTCCAAATCGGTGCGCAAACCAATGCTGTTTCACAACAGAACTGGGTTCACTCCAGTCCAAAATATGGGCTCCGCTTCGACGGGCAGCCTCCGAGGGTTGGGCGATACGGTACCATGAGGGAAAATGTTGTGTGGAAATGTGGTGGAATCATGGTGAAAGGGGATTATCACAAGGTCCTCAACAACCTCGCTTTCGAGAAAAGAAATGAAAAAAGCGGCGACAGGCAAGGTGACGGCTGCGCCTTGTGCGTCCTGAAATTTGTGCGCTCCAATCCGACAGAAATTAATCGAAACTCAGAGGTCGTCAAAAATGCTGCTGACGTAGCGAATGGCGGGAAAAGAAAGAGGCCACGTGGTACTTATCCCCTAGCTGGAAAAACCGTGAAGTTCAATAGCATTGGTAAGGTACGACCGGAAGTCATGGACGCAGATAACTTGGACTTCCGACCCCGTAATAGATCAGCATATGTTGAGCATCAGGCCGGCCCATACTTGTACAATCCCCAAAGCAAATATTACTGGATTCCTGGACGACAGTTGTACAAGGCTAGCACCCCTGTCCCTCCTGATGGTAGTAAAACTATTAAGGTAAGGGACTAGTTCATCATTTAAGCTAAAGAAGAATCAACTTAAAAGTTGATTCTTCTATTTTCGCTTTTTTATTTTTATGTTTTCAGTTCGAAGAGAATTTGAAGACTGTTATCTAGTAGAATAAAGATTGCTTAGAGAACATCTCACTTGCTCATATTACCTCGCAAGATACGCTACCCGCTATAAAGGTGGGATGTACAAATTGAATAAATGTTTGACTTAGAGAAGTGCAAATAATTTGTATAAAATAATTTGTATAAATCTTTGAATTGCTCTGCTCCTTCTTTATTAGATCGATAGGGATGCTGTCATGTGGCTGAACGCCTATGGCGTTTCCACTCACCATGTGTACTTTGGTACAAACAAGGCGAATGTTGCCGAAGCGACATCAAAGTCACCCGAGCATCTAGCGAAGATCACCGACGATGGCAATGTGTATTACTTGACGAAAAATCTCCAGTCGGGTATTACATACTACTGGCGAGTGGATGCTGAAATTGAGGAACAGATTATTTACAGAGGCGACGTGTGGTCTTTTCAGACAGTGTGAGCACGTTTTATCCATATAAAAAGTTTGGATAGCACCACTACCAGTGTCACGCTATGGTGAATGTATTTTTCCCTCTAATACAGAGGTACGTATAAAATGATTTGGATATGTCAGACTTATGTCTAAGCTGTAAAGTCAATTGTAAACCGTATTAAGTGAAACTTGGAATAAACTAGATGTCTTGATCTTTCGTGACGTTACTGGTTAAGATCCCCAGATACTTTTTGTAATTGATGAGGTATAATGGACGAGCTCACTGGGGCTTAAAATGTCTCCATAACCCTACTCGACGGTCACCCTCAAAGACCATTTTATGTGACCGGGATGGTCCTTGATCCCTGATCGAATTGGAATTTGGAAATGGTGATTTTTTTTTTTCGTGGAAGGTGTAAGACAAGACTGGAAAAACCCGACTGTTAGAAATATTCTCAACAGCAGGGGCTGAGAAAACAGTAAGTCGATTTCCGAGAGAGCGAAAATTGAACCCGAACAATGGTCAAAAGGATAGAACTGAGAGGTAACACCTCGTCCCGTTTCTCTCCGAAATTTTCTACATTTCTGATAGCAGTTTCCTTTAAAATCTTTTTTGCTAAAATTGCGAAAAGAATTTACCAGCAAATTGTTGCTAGCAAGAACGATCCAGGACAAGTGCCCGTTGCTGGTTCGCCCGGGCCACTCAGCTTTATCATAGAGGCTTCCCGGATTAGTATACTGATGCTATACTGATGCAGAATTCTAATTGGTTGCTTTGAGACAAAGAGCATATCGAGGCTCTAAACCTCGAAAGGGCCTCTGATACATGGCTTTGTCCGTTCAGAGGTCCGACGGCTATACTATGCGTATGAGCCCTAAGAAGGGCGAAACAGCCGTCCATGAGTGATGTGGCTGTGTATGCGTTAGGTACTGGCAAGGCTGTTTGGTTTAGTGTCAATGTCAATTGCTGTTGTTTATTAATGTTATAGTTAGAAATCACTTGTCAGTCAGTTCACACTCTTCTCACTGAGCGCCAACCCTTCTCGTCCGCCTACATCTCAGTAATTGACAAAGTTCTTGCCTTAGCTGAGGGTTAAATATTCCATATATCACGGGATTCACGGAGCCACTATAACCAGCTAGGTAGGTGTGCGTCATGTACACCTCTCGAGGCATCCAATATTTGCCCGTGAACATGCTAACTCCATCGATCACGATGAGGGGTGATCAGCAACATGTAAATGCCAGGACTATGGCAAATAAGAGTTTCGTGATTTTCGTCTCATCCACTTGCATGTTAACTCGTTTATTTTTTTCCCTTCTTGAATTTGCTATTTGCATATTATGCTGCAGAACAGAGCGGAAAATACAAATATGACAGTATACTATTGGTCCATAACACGCGATAATTAAAAATGTTCCCATTGAAAGACATCCGGCCGCGCTTAACTTGTCGCAGTCGTAAATACAAATGAATTTTCCAGGGTGGAAGAAAAATCCGTCGTTGAACGTTAAAGATATCGGGAAAGGCGTTGATATTAAAAACGCTGCAGTCAGAAAGAGACATATGTTCCTCTTATAGTATATTTGGGGATGCAATGACGGCCGAGTCACTTTAAAATAACGAGCGATGGCTGTAAGAGTCATTGTTACAAGAGAAAATGTACCGAACACCGTGAAAGTAAATCCTTGAAAATTGCACGCGGCTTTGTCAAAGGGCCAACGTCCTGTAAATAAAACAGCGAGTGTGAAAGGAAAGCCCAACACGGCAATGAGAACATCTGATAAAGCTAAACACGCGATGAAAATGTTTGACGTGCTTCGAAGGCGAGGGTGCTTGAATATCGTCCAACAAACTAGCAAATTTCCACCGATGGCCGACAAAA